CAATTGGCGGGAGTTTGTGTCTATTTTGGCCAGGGAAAAGGGGGCGGGTACCCTGTCCCGCTGCCGATTGGCTGCCGTTGGCTGTCATTTGGGGAAAAGAGGAGGCTTCGGCTTGAAGGGGCTGGTTTAGTGGGCGGTATTTGAATATTAAGGATTAATGGGCCCTTGCGGATGCTGGGCAAGTGAGGGCCTAGGCTCCAGACTCCTGGTTGCGCGGCCTTCCTCGGCTGTTGACGTGCTGTCCACAAATGCTCCAAGTACGCTGCAATAAGTGTTCCTCTGCACCTACGTTTTCTCAGTACCACCACCTTCAATAGAAGCAGCAAAGTTGCCTGCTCTGGACCCTGACGTTGTTCCAGCCGAGGGACCTTGATTTAATAGGCCCATTGCTTCTTTGATCTGAGCTTGCCATGAGTCACACTTTCATAGAGGCAGGGAATAAACTGACAGCAAATCACAGCCTTGGCCTTGGTGAAACTCTCGTGGGGGAAGAGGGTACATGCCAAAGCTGCATGAGACCTGTCATTGTTGGATCAGATGGTTTGGTGGAGCTGTGAAGAAGGGACAGTGAAAGCACAAAGGAACAGCACTAAACTCTGCCTGGAGGGGAGAGGGAAGACTTCCTAGAAGAGGTCTAAGAGATTTGGGAGCTAAGATCCAGCAATTCTGTTTTGGAAAAATACTTGAGTATGAGAAAAGTTTTAGCCAATGGGGTGTTCAGGACAAGACTGCTTGTCAAGGCCACCTTACTCTGATTCCAGCCATTATCCAATTCATCCAATGCTCTTTATGCTAGTTCTATGATTAATAAGGAACCTTCTGATTCTGATTTAGCTCCAACCCATTCATTTATTAAACAGCTACTATGTGCCAGGCACTGTTCCAGGCCCTGGATGCACAGTACTGAACAAGACAGGAAACTAACATTATGTGGAAGATTCATACTAAACATACAAATAAGTGTATAATATAATGTTACATAGTGCTAAGGGCTTTGACATAGATAAAACAAGGGTGAAGGGGATGCTATTTAGATATCCACAGGTTTTTGTCCTCATTTTAGTCCCCATATGAATATCTGGGGAGAGAACATTTCAGGCAAGTTCAACAGTCCTGAGGAAAGACTATGCCTGACATGCTGGGGACTAACAAGGAAGCTTATGTGGCTAGAGAGGGGTGGGGTGTGCAGTTGGAGAGGAAGCTGGAGCCACCATAGGAACTGGGAGCTTATTCTGAGATGAGAAACCCTTGGAGAATTTTGAACTGAGAACTGACATCATAAGATCTATGTTGTAAGTGCAGTGTGGAAAACTATCCATGCTAGGACAGAACTGAGCAAGAGCCCAATCAGGAGACTCTGACATGGTCTAGGAAAGGTGATAGTGGCTTTAACTAGGGTGATAGTAGTGAAGGTTCTAAGAAGTTGTGAGATTCAAGCTATATGTTCAAAATCAAGCAGAAAGGATTGGCTGTAGGGTATAAAGAAAGAGAAGAAACAGGATAGTTCCTGAGTTTTGGGCCTGAACAACTGAGTAAAGGGATGCCTTTCACCACGATTGGGAAAACTGTAGGGAAAGCACATTTTTGGAGGTACAGATCAAGAATTTTGTTTTGGCCATGTTAAGCTTGGGATACCTATTAAATGTGCAAGTGGAGATGTTGAGTAGGTGGTTGGGTCAACAAGCAGTCAACAAGTCAGCAAACTGAACATCCAAGTCAAGAAGCTATAAAAGAACAGCATAGTAAACCTAGAAAAAGTAGAAGAAA